CATGAGAAAACCTCACCAGCGGCAGCTGTACCCACATCACAAGGAGCACCGATCTCACTACCCAGGAAAGGGCAAGGAGTCAAGCTAACAGAAGAGGAAAAGAAGGCTCGGAGGAGGCAAAGGGACCGGGAAAGATATCAGCGAAAGAATGCAGCAGCCGCGGGAACTCATATTACTCCCCCAAAGAAACCCGTTCGTCCGTCGCCCACGACTTCAAACAAAAAGGGAGTTGCAAAACGTACTCCGGCAAAATCTCGCGATATGACCGCCCTCAACCCCTCTGCAACTCGTCAACAGGCAGACGAGTCTTCCGGCGACAAGGAGGATGACTATAATGAGGAGTTCGATATTTGGGAACAAATTGGTCTGGAGATTCAGAAGTTGCCGCCGGTTGATTGCACAGCTGAGCTGGAGATGGATAAGGATGCTGGGGGTAACTCGTCGATTTGGGGGTCAACTGAGGAGGGGCAACCACATGCCCTGGAGGCGGAACACCAGCGCGGAATGTTACCCCGTTCAGAGGGTCCAGGAGAGGTGGTTGGGGAGAATTCCGATGATGATTACATTACTTCCTTATTTGAGGAGTGAGATCAAGTCGGAAAGATCCTATATAGGGGTGTAGGAGGAGTTTTTGTCCATGTCCTCACGATGGACACGACGAGGTTTTTGCGCGTTTTCGACCATTGGGAGTCTTTGATTTGATCGTCGGCGTTTTGGCGATTTTGACCCACAATTGTGATTTTTGTTTACATGTATAAGCTACATCTGAAAATAAGGAATAGTTATATTGCTCCGTTCAATACTTTGAGTGAAGAATTGATCTCTGTAGACTAAATACCTACCCCCTAGCGAGTGGGTTAGGATTATGGTGTCGCGCAAGCTGGGTGTTTATCATTCACGTGAAAGTGCCTTTTTTTTTTTTTTTTCCGTCTAATACCTTTAATATTATCCCCAAGGGCGGCTATGGAGGCAGCACGGGCTAGACTAATAGGAAAATCATGAGAGACCCGTCAGCGTCAGATATCTCATGCGAATGAAGTGGAGGGCAGGGTGGATCTACCAAGTTTATAGTGTAAGGACTGCTTTGATTACAGCCACATCCTTGGTAGGGTGAGGTGTTGGAAAAGTTAGCCCTGCTTTTTTTTCCCCCTTTCCACACCGCCCCTAGCCTGCCTGCAAATCGGATAAGAAGAGGACTCTGTAGTCCATTGGTGGGGCATTCTCTAAAGCTCTTCTCATCACTACCACTTCTTCATCTCCGCGATTACTGTACCACCTTTGCTGCAGGCAATACTTATTCTCAGAGAGGACCAGTCGTATCCAACCTTTCCATTTTCCGCCATGCTGTCACCCGTGAAGAAAGTAATCGCTCCCCAGCCTGCCTTATGGATGGGAAGTTGTCACCGCTCATTCTCCGGCACATGGGCCTCCAAGGGCGGTGATTAAGGGTCAATTAGGTGGTCGATGGGATCGGCAGGAGATAACAGGGGGTGGGTCAATGCCCTACGGAAATGAAAAGCAGACAGCCTGGATAGAAAGAAAGGTAACAGAGGAAGGTGCCAGTCAGCTCATGGATATCCAAAGGAGGGGTGAATATTTAAAAATGAAATTACAAAAAAATCCGGAGGAGGGGTGGGACGGGACTGGGCTCGTAAGACGAAGGCGGGAAGGGAGGTGAGAGTACCGATATAGGCAGGGCCCTCAAGATAGAATAGGAAAGAGTTGGATTCAACTACTCGCAATGCCGAACCGGTAAGAAGAAGTTACAGAGGTGGACAGACCCCCGCGGGGAAAACAGGGTATTGTGCGATAGAGCCAGAGACAGGCAAGCACGTGGCATTGCCCTGTCCTGTACTCACGGGGAGTGGATCGGAATGAAGGTGGAGTTTGGGGGAGCAGGCAGATGAGATACTCGGATGGATGCGGGAATGTTGAGGAATGGGACACGGAGGTAACGGAAGACTTTGTGGAGACCAACCTGAACCTCTCACATAAAGGTAGTAGTATTTGGACAGTGGAGGCAGAGAGGTCTTTTCTTTTGCTAAGTACTTTATATAGGCTCCGGAGATCGGAAATATTTTTTTCGCTTTCCTGTCCCGAAAGCAGCCATAACCTTCCGTTGACTTCAGGGGAAAAAATAAAAGAAAAAGAAAACCCTCACTCTAAGGTTTGGAGGGGATTAAAAGGCAACCAATCAACCGGGAAGGATGGGAAGAGGAAGTGGGATGGGGGGCGGGGGGGCGGTTAAGGGCATGAAGCAAAATTATCTGGTGCCTGGGGGATGTTGGTGTACAAGAAAGCAAACACCATCATAAAATGCTAAAGACACGGATGATTTAAAGGTCTTGGATAATTGACTGTAAACCATAATCAAGGAAACACGCCTCGAGGAATACCGGAGTTTGATGCAGGATCATATTATCCCTTTTCGTTACCGGTAGCTGTAATGGGGGCAGGTGAATCTATTGGGGTTAAGAAAAAGGATTCGCCTGCATGTCGGCCTGCTTACGATATGTTGAGAACCTTATGTCATAATTAATATTTTGTTCCCTGCATTAGTTCAGTGTTTCATAATCTTCCCATCTATGTGATTACAAAATGTGGGGCATTTGCAAGCGACACTTTCAATTGAAGTTTGAGTACTTGGGTTTAAAAAATATGAAACATAGAAAGTACATCGAAATTTCAACCAAAATGTGAATTGCACAATGGATTAAGATGTTACTGTTGCCCTTCCTATGGATGGCAATCGGAGTTAAACAAACCTCAGGATGTATACTTAGTGCAGTACGACAAGCAGCCATCGATTGCACGGAAATATGCGGTCATTCAGATCGACGATTGGTAATATTGAAGCCTGCATGAAATTGTACTGGTGTGCCTTGCATTATTGGTTCCATTTGATCTTCATCTTCATCTGGTAATGTTTCTTCACTGCTACTGAGATACACTGGTCCCGGAAGACCTCTCTGGCGGCACGCCGTTGGAAAGCCCCAGCCGGACCATCTGATTGGTATGGCATCAGATGCTAAAAGCCAAGCTGCTTCCATCCTTTCGTGTGCAAACCAATTGCTCTTGGATACGTAATGGAGTTCCTGATAGCCAGCGGACACGCAATTGCAGGTATACCTAAGTCCAGGTCTCCTTTTAAACGGTGAATGTTCGATGTGTCCAATGTATCAGAAATCTTCTGTAGTTTTCGAGTTGGTTAACGTCGTTCTGATGCATGCCAATCGGGATGATGTACATCTGCCTTTTCTCTGTCCCGATTCCCGAGTCTCTTTCAAGGATAGACGCGCTGTCCCATTCTCCAGCGAAGCAGACCCCCCTCAGCTCATTATTTTTAGAAAATAGAACTAAAATAACTTCCCCTACAGTCTTTATCCCAGCTGTAGCTAACTGCTGAAGATCCGAATATTCGTAGCGGGGAAGGAAGGTGTTTTCGAAGAACAGGACAGTACAGCCGTCGATCATCTGTACGATGTCGATCTTGGCACCCGAATATGGAAACTGACAACGTCACCTATTGCCGGATCATGCGCTGTCGAGCTTTTGTAGTATTGCGCTGAACTTTATGAAGTACTTGTTTCCCAATTCCAAAGATTTAGTTGTTCGGTCAGAGCATTCAGATAGCTGTTTTTATTCTGCATCATAGTGGAAGTAACTGAAGGTACGTGGGGTGGCAAAGATGGGATATATAATGCCTGAGTTGCTGTGTTCCCCCCCCTCCTTCTTTTCCCCCCGCGAGAACTCAATATTCGCCAAGGAATGTAAACATCCTTAAAATCGTTGGAACCTTCGTCGAATCACAACATTAGCCCTTATTCTCTTACAGCTCCCTGTATCGCTCTCATTCGCCATATTGGTGGTGGTTTTCGTATGTGGGGGGTCCTTTTTTTTTTTTAAAAAAAAAAAACTCATTACTCCTATTCGATCCCAGTAAGAGGACCATCAGGAGCCACCCGGGTGGGGAGAAGAGACGAGTGGAAAAGACGACGACAATGGGGGATCCGGAAGAAGCTAATGTTGATAGGCCCGGGGCTCGTCATTTTCCAAGAAGGCTCGAGAGCCTTTATCATTTATTTTGGGGCTCCAGCCTTTTTCCCTACCGGGCTCTGCTCATGCCCAGGCCTAGACGTTGGGACTTTTGAAGAATGTATGGGCTTCTTGTCTGTCGTAGATGCTCTGGCTCACTCATTGTCTTATAGACCAAGACCAGGTCGTATAGCTGCTAGCCTTTGTACAAAGCTGCTAGCAGTTTATTTCCGACATCCAACAGGATGCAGTCCTGGGGCTCGAACTGAGGTTAATGGTGCTTGATTGTCGCTTGGCCCGGATAAGGGATACAATATAGAAACAGAGAGTAGGTGTTAGGAACGTGACAGGAGTGCAAATGTGAAATATCTTCTTGTGTCCAAAGAGGGGGCAGGTTATCGAGGATTCCAGTACTACCTTTTGAAATAGGAAGGATATAAGAACGTTGACCATAGGGTGCCAACCAGAGTAGACTGTGGGTACATGTTGTTGGTACAAGATGTTCGATGAAAAAAACAAAGGAGGGGAGAAATGAAGAGAAGAGAGGTGACAAGAGGAGAAAGAAAGAAGAATACCTGCTTGGTACTTCTCGGAAGGCAACACAAGACCAGCGTTGCAGACAGGTATCATAAAAAGGCACAGTGGTCTAATGGTATGACACCTGCTATGTAGGTACCTGCTGATTTCATGCAGAGGGCGGGTGACCTGGGTTCAATTCCCAGCTGAGCCATTATCATTTTACCTTTTTTAGATTTCATTCATTGAACTACAAGTACCCAGAGCATCAAAGTACACATTTATAAAACCTGAGAGGGAAGCAATCCGAGAGAACCAGTTTGGTCCGAGAGTTATTATTATACAAGGCGCTTTTATGTACAACTGACTAGGTGGCGTTTATAAGTCTATACTTGGTACTTTCAAAAAGGCAATACAAGACTCAAGTTATTAGGCAGCTATCATAAAAAGGCACAGTAGTTTAATGGTATGACACCTGCTGTGTAGGTTACCTGCTAATTTCAGGCAGAGGGTGGGTGATCTGGGTTCAATTCCCAGCTGGGCCATTATTTTTTTTCTTTTGGTTTAGGAGATGCGATGCGATGGTAGAGGCAATATACAAGGGACTAAACTGTGTCGCTAAATGCTCCCTGGGCAAGGTTCAAAGCCTATGCTTCATACCTCTCTGTCAATTCTCCTCTTTTTTTTGTTGTTAATAATTATTACTCCTATTCGGTCCCCCTGGTAAGGGGACCGACCACGAGGAGCAACCGGAAACCCGGGTGGATTCAGGACGAAGCAAGTTAATGTTCCAGGTCCGGCGCCTATATACCGCAATATAAAAAAACTCGAGAGCCAAAATGCTGCAGCAGATATAACATATGGTTAACGTTTTTATTATTTTATTTTATTTTTATTGTCTCATACCTAAGGTCATGCCGGAGTCCCGAAGACTGCCCTTAAAAGGTTCAGCTTATGCTCTCGGTACCAGAAGCAGGTCCAGCCTCCCAAAGACAAAAGAAACCCGCACCAAAAAAACTGCTTCACCTTCCTCCGCTGCCAGCTCCCACCCCCCGACACCTTAACTCTAGAAAAGAAATTCTCAACCAAGTGCTCGAATATTTCCTTGTCCCTGTCCTTCATTTTCCGCAACCATCTTTTCTTTTCCGCAACCATCTGTCCTTTTCGTCCGCTTGTTCCCAAGAACTCCACCTTCTTCCAATCCATCTGCCGGCAGGACATGACAAAGCGACATGCCTGCCCGTTTCCGGGTCCACCTCGAAGAACCTATAGATTGTGAATACCGTGGGATCTAAGATAGCTCTCCACACTTGTAGTTTTCCCCTCCCAGTTCTTCAATGCACATAGTCGACCCGCGCCTTCCCATTCCACTTCCAATACCCTCCCCATCCCAGTTCCAATCACCTTTCGGCTTGCCTGCCTCTTCCTGTTCCAGGCGTACCTACCCCCCCCCCCCCACCCTTCGTGACTATTCCTCTGCCATGCCATGCTCTTCCTTATGGTCCCCCTACTGGGACCGCATAAGAGGAACAAGCATTTAAAACCATATATGCCAATGTGCGCCTTGACCCAGCCAAATCGGACTGCCCCTCCCTAACCTTCCTTCTCTGTTCGCCACCTCCTCGACAATCCAATTAAGATCTTCTGTCCTGGCTTCTCCTAACTTGCCCGCCGCCCCAATTGCCAGAATCCTTGCACGTGAGTCAGTCAACACCAGGACACTTTCCTCTCTCCGCGCTCTTTCTAGAGCTCCTCTGATTCCCACCACCTCCCCATACCATACCATAGCCATCCCCCCAGTCCTCTTCACCCTTCTATTCTGCCTGCGAATTCTATCGAAACAAACCTCCCCCTACCCCACCTTCCTCCGTCTGTATAGAAGAACATATAACGATATAAACTGGAAAAGGGATGAACTCAAGTGTCGCTGAGTCCCCATGCTGTCACTAACCGGACCCCTAGAGGTCTTCTTTAACCGGACCCCGAGAGGCCTTCCAGCCGGACTTCCGGGTGGCTCTTCATGGTCCCCTCACTGGGACTAAATAGGAGTAAGGAGTATTTAAAAAAAAAAAAATAAAAAAAAAATAACTCCGAGAGGCCTGCCTGAAGCCGCACCTAACAAACCAAACTGATATAACATAAGTAAACATGAAACTGGACTCAAGGGCTGTTGACCGGGGAGAATGTATAAGTACCTCAATAGCCTCCTCTCCCGACGAGCCATCTATATACGAAACCGAAGGTGTCGACCGTCTTATGTGTGATGGCAGCACGGCATGCTTCTGCGTTCGATTTCCCGAATATGTGGAACGAGTGCTTTTGAGAGCCTCTGTCAGCACTTAGCCACGTCTAAGCTGAGGAGGCTTGTCGGTTCCACTGATCTCCAAACACAAAGCCTTTGGATGTATGCACTTCGCTTCTAGGTGCCTTTGAGCCTTGTCTAATACCCCCTTCTGTCACTCTTAAGGGGCTCAGGGAGAATTGCTCCAAAGCAGGGGCCAAGGCGGCTAGCTTGTCGGCTTCCTCGTTCCCTTTGGAGACCGGATCCAAAGAATGCGGCTGTCCTGATGTTCTAGGTGCCGTTTCTCGAGTACTTCCGCTAGCTCAGACTCGACCCCACTCCTTGCTGACTATCTTCTGGAGAACTTGATGGCGTTGGATATGGCTGCGGCCGAGTCTGACAGAATGGCTAACATGCCGCTGCCTTTGTTGGCTCGGAGGTCTAAAGCGATGGCTTGTCGTTCTGAATCTGCGACTGTGGACTCCCCTCCTAAATACTCGTGTCCCTTTGAAGGGGGTTACCCCTCCAATCTTCCGAAGTAAAAGCAGATGCGGTGTGTCTTGCCCTCCCAGTGCCATCTGGGTAGCACAGCCTCCAGCCCTCGTCCATCTTCCCACAAAGCTTAGCTGCCCACCCCGTTTGCATCTGACGGTTCGTATAAAGTGTAGAGAGCGAGAGTGTTCTGGGTGGATTTGTCGCAATTACCGAAGCTGAGAAGAGGGAGGATCCGCGGAGTGGCGATGTGGAAGGCGGAGGTTATCGGATCCCGGGGATTTGAGAATGAATTGGGGAGCATTGCCCGTATGTCTGGGTTCCCTGTTTGTACTGCTACATGACCTGCCCAACTCGCAGATAGGTCATGTTGTAGTTTGCACTCTAGTATTCCCCATAAATCTTGTGTAGCGCCTGGTACCCATGTCTGCTGGCCTAGGGTCCCGTCTGCCCGAAGGTCTCAATCAGAACTCGGATCCCAAAGTGAAACTGCGTCTCTAAAGGGAATGGATGGATTAAGGACTCATGCCTTTGTTGCTATTGGCCAGCCTTGAGAGAACATCTGGCATCTTCCTGGCTTTCTGTGTATGGAACTTGATGTGCTTGCGGAATGAGAGTTCGTTGTCCATGATCATCTCTAGAGTTGTAATGTGGTGGGTGGGATCTCTGACCGGGTCCTAGATCAGCTGAGAGTATCCCAGCTTAAGGGTACCTGTGTCAAGGCAACACAAGACCACCTGCTATAGACTACTATCATAGAAAGGCACAGTGGTCTAATGGTCTGACATCTGCTATGTAGGTACCTGCTAATTTCAAGCAGAGGGCAGGTGATCTGGGTTCGATTCCCAGCTGAGCCGATATTCCTTTTTGATTTTTTCCCGCCAGCATAACACATCTAGCTAATTTTACTCTCCCTCAATTTTATCTTTTTTTTTTTTTTTTTATACTTAGTACTCCTATGTAGCCCCGTTAGGGGGGCTACTCAATTTTATCTGGCTACCCTAGCGAAAAGACAATCCACTATATAGGTAAAATCGCACCGAGATTCGGCACGCAGGACAAGTTATGGTGGGAGAGCGGAGGCCCGCTTCTGTGCGCAGTAATATGTATGTCTATACTTTTTACAATATTCAGTCCTGCAGTCTGTAACCCACATTCCGACCTCCATTGTGAACTCCGCAAATTCTATTCGTTGTTCACTCCCACTGCCGGGTAACTCGAGAGGAACAGGTGGAGTGGCATGAATCACCGGGCGGGTTGGACAATCCAGCTGGATAAAAAGTAAATAGTTTGTATACGAGTACTGAGTTACCAAAAGAAATCGCGTGAATCTCCCAATTCCAATCCCAAAAGTTAACGTAAAGCATGGTTGGGCTCTATTGCAATCATGTTAAGTTAACCTTTCCGGTTTTATTGAAAAAAAAAACGCTTTCTCCCCGTTGTCAAATAGCACGAAGATTTGCTATCAAGTCCGTGTGAAACTCAATAGGTAATTTGGACACTGAACGCACATGCGAGCAATTGACACAAAAATCAGTATATAAGGGGACAGGTCAGCACCGTTCTACCCCTTCCTCACATCAGATTGAGTCCCCCAGAAAACATTGACAACATCAAGTGTTCTGCAAAGTCTTCTACATTACACCACCAATAATCCTTCCTTCGTACATCTTTGTCCCTAGATTTAGTCCTTTAACAAAATGTCCAAACCAAGAGGATGCAAAAACTTCACCCATGTTCAATGCGACTACAACCGTTGCCGGGGACGAGATATCTCTGCTGGACATGTGAAAGACTGTCCATTCCTGGACTCAGATGAGGAGGACCAGGATTCAGATGAGGAGGACCAGGATTCAGATGAGGAGGACCAGGATGAAGCGGAGAATTCGGATGTGGAAGATGAGAACGAATGGAAGCCAGTACGGGCGGTAACAAATAAACCCACGCCAACCACCTCCTCCATATCAAGCGTCGGCCCCAAGGCCCAGAATACTCCCCCACAAGGCACCACAATGACCCATAATCCATGGGCTCATAAGGCGTCCAAAGCAAGTCCAAAGACTCCCAACCCTGCCGGCATCATGGGCAACCCGTCTCGCCCAATCACGAACACTCCGGTCCCACAAAAATGGTGGGCTAGGGCTCCTATGCCTCCCACTCACGTCACTATCCGCCCGCCACGGAAATGACTATGCCTGACAGGGCATCAAACCCAGCCATCGTGCACAGAGCCCGACCGAACCCCCGGGGGCTAAACATTCGCACCAGTGGGTATGGAGGAGAGATATAAGGGGGGTGAGATGTGACATACCATAACGTCAATCGGTTCCCTAGATGTTTCCCTCACTCCCTTTCGTGCAAATACTCAGGCTAGGAGGAACATCTTGGGGCACTATAGGGAACCGAGGCCATAGGACATCTTGCAGCTATTGATATCGTTTTTGGTTTGATTTTTTCTATTATTTTTGTAAATATATTTTTCATATCGAGACCCCGTTTTCATGCCATATCTAGCTGCTCTCTATAGCCGCTCTGGAATTTCATATATTCCCCACCTAAATATTCCTCCGTGTGCCCACAATCCTGTAATTGCACTGCGTGGCGTCACACCCACTCTTATTTGGGTAAGACTTTTAACTCTGCTGTAGTCTAAGGTGGTGCTTTCGCCTAATTTGTGGCTGAACTCGATTGCTTGCTGCTTGGTTGGGGTGGGAAAAGCTGTACAGAATAATTATCAAGTTATTAAATCACGTTTTCCACTAGTCTTTTTTC